TTCGGCCCTAGACTTCTGCCTCGCTCGCCTGCTCTCCCGAGACAACGACGAGGACAAGGAGGAGCACAGGGACGAGGAGGAGGAAGGCGAGGACGTGGACGTGGACGAGGCGGACTCTGAGGGCGAATGGGCCAGTGAGGGGCAGGGGCAGGTGGGCGGGTGCGGATGAAAGACGAGGAGGGTGAGTGATAGCGGCTGCTGCGTTAAACATACAACTGGATAGTATCGCCTACAATCAAGCCGGCTCTGGGTCTGTCGAGGAAAGCTCCTTCCCTTGCAAGCGCAAGTGCGACAACAAGCGCTCTGGCACTGCAGACGCCCCACTCCCGCGCTCGGTGGGAAGAGGACAGAGGGGACGAAAACGAGGCTGAAGACGATGAAACGCAGATGGTAGGAAGTTGACGATGAGGAGCAGGACAATCGAGGCGGACCAATGGGGGGGATAGCAAAGGGGGGGTTTAATGAACCACCCGCAACCCACAATGTTAGTTAAAATCGGCGCCTGCGGCGGGTCTCTTCAGAGCCTCGCATATTGCCGACGAACCTGCCGCCCCCTCACTTGTATCCGCATCTGCGGGGGGCCACCTAATGTGTGCGCCTTGCGCTCACAAACGGTGGCAAGACCTTTACACAACCGAGTACAAACGCAACATCGATAATGCACATGGTCGTTTCAACTGTCTCTGGAAAGGGCGATCACCCGACCACGGGTAAACCGCTGGGGGGGTGGGCCCTGCATGGTTTCGAGGCCCCTTCTACTTGGTGTGGGTGGGATACATGGGCCCTGCAAGGTCCCCTCGTCCCGTCCACACAGTCCAGGAAAGAGGAAAAGGACGACACAACGAATAACAAATGAAGAAAGGAAAAAACGAGACAAGGGGCGGAGGCGAAGACGGCGGAAGGAAGGACAAAAGCAGCGAACGCACAATGACGCAAGGAAACCAGGAACGCATGCGGAGGAGCAGTTCCCCCTTCATTATACCCCCTCTCCCCTCTTCCCCTCCCCGCCCTGAATTGCCCCCCGCCACATCCTCCTCCTCGATGGTGAAATGGCCGTCCCGATAAAACATGCCTGCTGGAACAAAGAGTTGTTGAGAGTGGGGGCCGTCCTCCTCCTCCTCCTCCTCCTCCTCCTCCTCCTCCTCCTCCTCCTCCTCCTCCTCCCCCTCCCCCTCCCCCTCCTCCTCCTCCTCCTCCTCCAACTCCTCCTCCTCCTCTCTCTTTCTCGGGCTTAGGGCAGAGATTCGACGCCCGCAGGACAGGTTGAGAGCAATATAGAAAAAGGGACGGAGTGACAACGATGCGGCGACGGCAGAGCAGCGGCAGCAACATGTCAGTGAAACGCATGCATTTCCCTGGCGAACCTCAACCCCCAGCTATTTAATGTCCAGCGTGGACGTGAACTGGGCGTTGCCAATCAAATCCTTTCCAGGCCCAGTCTGGCACTGTCAAAGAAGTGTGACGTCGCTGTCGGGGAGGGTCGTACCCCAGGCAATCCTTCCATGGGTGAGAATCCTAGACGGCCCTTCAAATAAAGTTACCACCGCCAGAGGTGCGCGAACCTGAGAAGGGGGCGGCACGGATCCAAGGGAGTAAGGGCAGCGAGCAGCAGAGCGTGCACCCCACGCCCCCCCCGCTGCAGCCTGGTCGGCTATCTCCTTGGGTCTCGTATCCGGTGGAGCAGACAGACTATGCCAATAATCGGGTCGTCCTGATATGGACCCAATGGTGTGTGATATCTTCTTCACGATAATGTCGAAGAGAAACGTGAAAAAAAAAAAAAAAAAAAAGAAAAAAAAAGAAAAACACAAAAACAAAAAAAAAAAAAAAACAAAAAAAAGAAAAAAAAACCACAAAACATCCAATCAAAAACACAAGCAAAGCACTCACGACAAAAAACACCACCGACTCAAAAACAAGTTGCGTGTTGTCCCCCCCCCCCCCCCTGGTGAGCAGCCGCGGAAATCGTGTCCAGGATCCCTGAACAATGGAGGCCCCCAGGACCCTGCAGAGCTCAGAGGGGTAGGTGTGGGCAGCCGAGGAACTCCACTTGCCCATTTCATCCCAGCCCTCAAGCACCATGTGCACAGCGCGGCGGGTGCACATGACCCCCCCACCCCGCCTGGTAGCCAGGGCATCCACGAGAGAGGGCGCGTGGGTGATCAGGACGTTGGTGGGCTTCCATGTGGGGGCTCCAAAGGCACGCTGATGGATGGTGACCCGGTGGGGGGCCCCCAAGGTGCACAGCCTCTCCACTTGGTCCAAGAACCAGGGGCTGGGGGCCTCGGGGGGGGCCCAGGGTTCAGCGGGATGCTCCATAATGAAGGAAACCTCCAGACGCCAACAGAGGGCCGCCACCTCGAGGGTGGTCCGCAACAGCCGATTGCCAAGCGAGCGTCGGACATGCTCTCGCTCCCCGATGTTGCAGAGCCCCCAAAGAGCCTCAAGGGATCTCAAGGGTCTGGGGGGCTTAGTCCTGGCTCCGTCGGGCCTGGGCCCAAGGTCGCGGTGGCACGCCGCTGACCGCGTTTCGCAGGGCGGGCCTGCAATCGCGGCAGCGATGAAGCCAGCTCGAATGAGCCGGCTCCACAAGGCCACCGCGTCTGGGCGCGTGAAATCCCCGTGCTCTGGATCGTTGATAACAGCGATGCTAAGAACAATGGGCCGAGCGGGGTGTGCGACCGGCACCTTTTCCACCCAATCTTGGATGTCTCCCCCCCCCCCCCGCCGAGTCTCCGAGAACAAATGCAGCGCGCGCATCTGGCGTCGGGGGGCGGGGGGGCGCCTGGGACTGGGGTTCGTGGGGGCAGGCGGCGGGGGCGCAATCGCCGCGGGCTGGGGGGCGGGAATAAGACCCCCCGAGCCAGGAACAACGATGGGGGGTCCTGGTGCTCGGACTGGTGGTTCACGAGCCCGGTGGTCCTGGAATCCGCTGCGCCTGATGTCGGCAGGCTGCTGGCGTATGAGCTCAATGTTGGCCACAAGGTCCTCGGGGCTCGCCCTGCGCCCAGAGGCCCACCAGTCCCGCTGGCACCTCTTGGCCTGGAGCAGGCGCTTATGGAGCCTGCCCCGTTGGTGGAAACACTTGCAACAGACCTGGCATGTGATGCCAGTGACAAAGCACTTAGGAGCGCTGGTGGGGGGGATGGTGCGTCTGAAAGCGAACATCGAAGCCCGCGCGGGTGGCGAACCTCTGGGCGCACTCAGGACGCGAGAAGACTCGTGCAAGGGCAGGGGGTGGCAAGGCCAAAAAGGTCCCCGAGGCCAGTTTGTCGAACCTCCGCTCCCAGGCAGCCAAGTGATAGGTGCCCAGGGAACGGGCGAGCGCCCTCTTGGCAGCGCTTTTGATGAGGCCCTGGGACTGCTGAGGATGATTTCGAGCCAGATCGATCCACGAGGGCGGGGCGACGTCGTCGGGCCGCTGCCTGTCACCAAGAAAACTCGCAAGCCAATTCAGATCGCTGTCCAGATGAGACACCCAGTGGAGAATGCTGCAAGGTGCTGCAAGCACACTCGGACGAGGGGAGGGGCATGGAGCAATATTCTGTCAAAGAAACGCGGCCAAACTATAGTCACAATCTGGTCGGATGAGAGTCGTCCCGCCAATAATAAGCTACTTCCACTCCCCAGATGCCAGGACGACGTATTTACTATGGGGACGAGCACGGGAGGGCGAGGCCACGGCATGCCGGAGGCTGCACAACTGACAGCTGATCCCGGTGATAGCCGTACACCCTCGAAGACACTGATGAGAGCCACCTGATATCCGTGCAAACGAGAGAGAGAGCAAGGGAGGAGCGGGAGGGGAGGCTAGAGCGAGATGGCAACGGATGACCATCAAGTGCGGCAACTTCGCCGTGGTACGCAGCATACACTTGTTAAAAGGATCAGCTACTTCCACTCCCCAGATGCCAGGACGATGTATTTACTATGGGGACGAGCGCGGGAGGGCGAGGCCACGGCATGCCGGAGGCTATACAACTGACAGCTGATCCCGGCGATAGCCGCACACCCTCGAAGACACTGATGAGAGCCACCCGAATCCCGCAGAGCAGTCCTGGCCACACCAGTGGCCGAAAACGAACTACGCACGTGAAATAACCTAAACTACCGAAAAGAGACTACATGATTTTGAAGGCAGCATCCATCATCCATTTCTCTCTGAGAGCATTGGCAGAGTGTGTCATGGCAAGGGCGGCCGCGCGGGCGAACTGAGGCGAGTACGCCGCGGCCAGCTCGGTGCGGCGGGCAGGCGCACCTTTGTCTCGACCTTGGAGGATAAGGTGAGGCAGGCCAGTCGACGAGCAAATGCCTCCCTTGCCAGAGCACGACTTACATAAGCTGGGGAAGACGCCTGCATTCCAGCAGGCCACTGTCGCTGGCTTCTTAAAGGGTGTGCCAAAGCGGCACATGTCCATCTTGTGAACGGTGCACGATGAATCCGAAAGAAGCTTGACCATCTCGGGGGCGTGCCAGCGACCCTCGAGGGTTCTCCAAAAAGACAGGGCAGCCAATCTGGATGCAGAGCCGGATGAGCCGGCAGGAAAAGTAGAACGAGCGATTGCCTACGCGGAGGCGGTCCAGCCGAGCTCCTGACAAACCTGGTTTTCCCATGGGGAAACGACTGGAGCGCAAAGGGTCTCTGAGAGCCTGCGACCAGGACGTACAGGGAGTGCCCAGCCACAGACATACAATGGCCTTGCTCAGAAGCCACACGCGCACAACCGACTCGAACGTGGTGTGGCGGTGATCCTCACAGGCCCCGTGGGCGAGGTCCAGGTCCAGGCACCCGTGGCCAAGGTCGCGGATGCGCTTGGAAATGCGACCCTGCCCCGCGAACAATTCCAGAAACAGACAGCACCTCCACTTGCTGGTGCCAGCGCGGCCTCGGCGGTACCGCCGCTGCAGGTGAAGCCGCGCGGCCTGAGGCGACGCCGTCAGCGCCGGCGGCGCCGCGTGGCGGCGGGGGCCCCGGGCCCTCCCCGCAGGCGGGGGCCGACGCTCGCAGGCAGGTCGGCCCACGCCAGCGGCAGCAAGGGGCCGCCCCGCAGCACGTCCAGGAAGTCGCGCTCCACGATCTCGCCGAACAGCAGCACGTCGGGGTCCACCTTGGCGGCCTCCCGGAGGAGGCGGGTCTCCTTGCCGTAGCGGCGGGGCGAGGCCACCGTGGCCCAGCGACCCCGCTGCATGACCTGCTCCGGCGTCCTGGCGCCCGACAGCAGATCCTCGCTGGCCCCCCCGTGACGGAGGGAGTACAGATGCGGCTGCAAGTGCACCAGGCCCAGGGCGCGGCACGCATCCTCGAAGAGCTGAGCAATCGACGTAGGCAGGAAGTCCCACAAGGGTCCGTCGCCCGCGACAGTCCTCAGCGCCTCCAGGGCTGGCTCGAGCCACGGCGCCTGGTCCAGCAGCACGCTCTCGTCCCACAGGTTGGTCTTCCCGGGCAGCTGCAAGTCGGAGTCGTGCAGCAGCAGCCCCCACGGAGTGGGGGCCTGCCCCAGGTGGGCCACTGGCGGCACGAGGTGACGCCCGGCCAGGCGGAAGGCCTCCTGCGGGCGGAGGTAGGCCGCGAACGACAGCATCACGAAGAGCCCCATGCGCGGCTGACCCCAGGCAGCCAGCGCCCCGGCGATGGCGAAGGCGGCCCGGCGCGGCAGCGGCAGGCGCATCCTGGCCGGGACGCGCCGGCGCCAGCCCGCCAGACAGCGCGTCGCCCTCGGCAAGGCCTGCGCCGTCCTCTTGTACAGCGCCGGCGCGTAGTGCGCCAGCGACGCCAGCAGCACAGAGCCCTCGTTCGGGGCGCGGCCCTCGAAGTACATCGAGTTCAGGTACGTGACCAGGGCGACGTCCATCTCGGCCTCGCTCGTCCAGTCGATGGCCATGACGAGGCAGAACTGCAGGAAGGCCCGGAGGTACACCTGGTACAGGCGCTCCGTGCCCGGCCTGACCGCCGTCCGCTCCAGCACCGAGAGGCCGCCCGAGGGCCCCCGCTCGGACGCCACCTGGCGAGCCGCCGCAGCTCTGCGGTGGCGATCCGCCTGGCGGCGAGAGGCCGAGGCACCCGCCATCGAGCCCGGCTCCTGCAGGTGTCGGCCCGTCAGCCTCAGGGGGCCCCGCACGAGAGCAGCCAGGCTGGGCGGCAGCAGCGCGTCGGTAAGGCCCTGTGAACCAGCCTAAACGCCCACGAGACAGAGCATCGGCAGGGTTGAACTCGCTACACGTCCAGCGTATGTGAATAGTACAATTTGAACACGGCGCCAAGCAACACAGTTTACGAAGAGAACGACGAAGATGAATGGATGCGGCCCTTCCCTTACAACAACCCAAGGCCAACGGCATGTTGTCGACGAACAGAAGTATGTGCTTCCCGAAAGCGGCCCTGGACCTCATGATGTGCTTGATGCCCAAGACACACGCGCCCCCCTCCAGAGCCAGAATAGTTGTCGGGCACGACGACCCTTGAGGCGATAACAGGAGCCCAGCGAGCCCCGTCGAAGAACTCCTTGGGCACCTCCATGAACTCCCTTGGGTGCAACCTGATGAAGGATTCCAGCCCCAAGACGTCCAGGCCGTGCAGTCCTGCAGGCAGCGAAGCTGTGGCGTATGCGGAGGATGGTAGAGGCTGAGGGCGGAGGGCTCTCTCGCGGGCCTTCTCGGCACCGTGCACTCGGTAACGCCACCTCTCGCACTGGCGGCCGTGCTGCGCCGCAGCGTCCGGCCGCGCCGACCGCACGGCGACGCCGACTCCGAACTCGGAGGCGTCGCTCACTCCGACCACGTCGTGCCACGGGCTGCTCAAGTCCTTCTGAAGGAGCGGGAGCAGCGAGCGGACGAGCCACAGCTCCTGGCGCACGGAGGGCCACAGCCGCGAGGTCGTCGGCAGGCCGGCCGCCATGTACGGGTACACGGAGCTCAGCACGCAGAGCAGCTCACGGCGGATCAAGCAGGCCCACGTGATGTGGCCCACCAGCACCTCAAGCATCTTGCTGGAGCAGCAGCCCCGGCGTAGCACGGTGTCCAGCGCCGCACGGAGCCGCCACAGGTTGCGGCGCTTGATAGACAGCCAGCGGCCCTGCCGGAGCTCCACCAGGACGGCGTCGGGGGAGGCATCCGTCTCCTCGTGGACTGTCAAGCCCCACCCGCGCAAGACGGCCGACACGTCGTCCCGGCGCTGCGTGACCAGCGAGGCGTCGTGGCCGAAGACGTAGAAGTTGCCCACGTAGCCCGCCGCCGCCGTGTCTGAGCGGGCGGGCAGGGCCACGCTGGAACGACCGTCCTCCGCGATCTGCGAGTCCGCGAAGCCCGCCACCGAGATGGCGCGCATGGTCACAGCCTGGCAGAAGTGCATCGCCCACGACCACCCCATGGGCAGGATGGTAAGGCAGGGAACAGGCTGGTCCCTGCCGGAATGCTCACCCCCTCCAGCTCCGCGATGCCCGCTAGGGACGAGGAAAGCGGGGGCAGCGTGAAGTAGTCCTCTAAGCCCGACATGGGCCTGAGACGGTAGAAGGCATTGTCGAGGTCGCCAGCCGCCACGCACAGGGGCAAGCCGCCCGACTCCACAGAAGACACCGCGGCCGCCGTGGGCAGCCGCGTCGCGGGCGCCGGGTGGAAGAAGGCGTTGGCGTACCTCGTGTCGAACACTATGCGAAGCTTGCCGGACTTCTTCCTCGCAAAAAATACACCAATCATGTGCTTGGCAGTGGAGGCCACCTTGAAGCGCAACATTCCACATTGATGAAGCCGCCGAACAAAGTCACCATGCAAAACTGGATCCCGCGCCAACCGAGGGTCGACGAAAGGTCCGCGAGGGCAAGCTTGTCGGGCCCCGAGCAGCGCCTCGTCGGGCGTCTTGAGCAAGTTATGTGGCCAATCCCGTGCCCAATCAGCATCATCCTGAGTGAGGCAGCCCACAAGGTCGACGGGGCTGGAACCCACCTCAGGCCAGGAGACCAGCTCCTTCGAGCACGGGACCCGGGCGCCACCATCCTCAGCGTAGACGGTGGAGCCACTGAGAAGCTCGCGGAGGGCTTCTTCACAAAAACCTGGCTCGCTCGGCATCGCGCCCATCCCCAGGTAGCAGTCCTCCAAAAAGTTCAGGCTGGTCTGCTGCCCCAGGTTCGCGGGCGCCGACGGAGGTGCACCAGCGTGGCCATACAGGCAGTTGAGCGCGTCAATGCCCTGGTCGGCCCACTGCAGCAGCACGTCGGAGCGGCGGAGCCGCTGGCGCACGGCCCGGCAGGGGCGGCGCTCGAACACGCGCTCAGTCCGTCGAGCCACGTGAGGAAGCGGAAAAAGATCCCGATGGCGTAGATCATCGGCGGCGGCGCTGGGGCCGCGAAAAAGGGCCTGGTGCTCGAGCTTCTGCGCGGCGCGTGGCCCCAAGTCCCGCCGCCCGCTCCTCCTCACCCCTTGCCTTCCTCCTTGTCCTTGTCCTTGCCGCCCTTTTTGTCCTTGTTGTTGGGCGCCCTGGCGCTCTGGCGCTCCTCGCGAGCCTTGCGCCTCTCCTTGGCGACGGCGTGCTCCTTCGAGAGCTCGCCGCTGACGTAAGCCAGCAGCTGGGGGTGCACACACACATTGCCCCGGTTGGCCGAGGTGCCGTAGAAAAGGTGCGAGTCGAGCGACTCGTCAGCATTGGTGATGAACCGATCCCGCCACCTCTCCTCCTGCACCTGGATGCTCCTGCACACCATCTCCGCCGCCGCCACGTCTGGCACGTTGAGCAAGTCGTAGCACGCCATCTGCTCCAGGTAGAAGCAGCAGCGCTCGTGCTCGGCCACCCCAGCGTCGGCCAGCGCCAGGCGGCCCTCCGACCGCCACTTGCTGTGGCGGCCCAGCGGCGACATCCCGTTGTCCTTCATGAACAGGCACACCCACAGCGTCGTCCGCGGCCCCGAGATGGGCCAGTCCGGCCAGTCATGCTCCACGAGGCGCAGCACCGCCTCCGAGAAGCCCAGCTTCCTCTGGCCGAGGGCGTTGTACGCCACAGGCAGCACACGGGCGTCGGTCTGAGCGCCAGGCGGAGCAGCAGGGGCAGCAGAGCCTGGAGGCACCGGCGCGGGCGCCGGCGCGGGCGCAAGGGCCGGGGCCGCCGCGCCGCCAGGCAAGAGGGGCACGGGTGCCCCGGGCGCCACCGCGGGGCCCCCCAGCGCGGCCACCAGCCCGGCGACGCCCGCAGCGGGGGCGGCGGCCGGGGCTGCAGCGGCAGGCACCAGCGCACCCGCTGCCGCCGCCGCCGGCGCTGCCAGCGGTCGCCCACCTGCGTTGGCCACGATGGGCCCAGGCGGGGCTGCAAGGCCGAGACGGCCAGCGGCAGCGGCTGCGGCCGTCAGCAGCGTGGCCGGCGTCGGCAGGCTGCGAAACCTGTAGTAGCGGGCGCCAGGCGCCCACGCCATCGCGCCTCCCGCCGCGCCGCCAGGGA